CGTCTACGGCGACGCCACTAATCGGACCGGCGCCTGGGGTCCCGGAAACGCGGACCTTCTTAAAGGTGCCGGCTAAAAGGAGGTATACAATGTCGACGCTCGTCCGTCCAGCGATCGGGGAAATTCAGGGGGAACTTTGTGACCCTGCCATGACGAGGGAGAGGGCATTGTGCGTTAATTGTCGTCTACGGCGACGCCACTAATCGGACCGGCGCCTCGGGTTCCCGAAACGCGGACCTTCTTAAAGGTGCCGGCTAAAAGGAGGTATACAATGTCGACGCTCGTCCGTCCAGCGATCGGGGAAATTCAGGGGGAACTTTGTGACCCTGCCATGACGAGGGAGAGGGCATTGTGCGTTAATTGTCGTCTACGGCGACGCCACTAATCGGACCGGCGCCTGGGGTCCCGGAAACGCGGACCTTCTTAAAGGTGCCGGCTAAAAGGAGGTATACAATGTCGACGCTCGTCCGTCCAGCGATCGGGGAAATTCAGGGGGAACTTTGTGACCCTGCCATGACGAGGGAGAGGGCATTGTGCGTTAATTGTCGTCTACGGCGACGCCACTAATCGGACCGGCGCTTCGGGTTCCCGAAACGCGGACCTTCTTAAAGGTGCCGGCTAAAAGGAGGTATACAATGTCGACGCTCGTCCGTCCAGCGATCGGGGAAATTCAGGGGGAACTTTGTGACCCTGCCATGACGAGGGAGAGGGCATTGTGCGTTAATTGTCGTCTACGGCGACGCCACTAATCGGACCGGCGCCTGGGGTCCCCGAAACGCGGACCTTCTTAAAGGTGCCGGCTAAAAGGAGGTATACAATGTCGACGCTCGTCCGTCCAGCGATCGGGGAAATTCAGGGGGAACTTTGTGACCCTGCCATGACGAGGGAGAGGGCATTGTGCGTTAATTGTCGTCTACGGCGACGCCACTAATCGGACCGGCGCCTCGGGTTCCCGAAACGCGGACCTTCTTAAAGGTGCCGGCTAAAAGGAGGTATACAATGTCGACGCTCGTCCGTCCAGCGATCGGGGAAATTCAGGGGGAACTTTGTGACCCTGCCATGACGAGGGAGAGGGCATTGTGCGTTAATTGTCGTCTACGGCGACGCCACTAATCGGACCGGCGCCTCGGGTTCCCGAAACGCGGACCTTCTTAAAGGTGCCGGCTAAAAGGAGGTATACAATGTCGACGCTCGTCCGTCCAGCGATCGGGGAAATTCAGGGGGAACTTTGTGACCCTGCCATGACGAGGGAGAGGGCATTGTGCGTTAATTGTCGTCTACGGCGACGCCACTAATCGGACCGGCGCCTCGGGTTCCCGAAACGCGGACCTTCTTAAAGGTGCCGGCTAAAAGGAGGTATACAATGTCGACGCTCGTCCGTCCAGCGATCGGGGAAATTCAGGGGGAACTTTGTGACCCTGCCATGACGAGGGAGAGGGCATTGTGCGTTAATTGTCGTCTACGGCGACGCCACTAATCGGACCGGCGCCTCGGGTTCCCGAAACGCGGACCTTCTTAAAGGTGCCGGCTAAAAGGAGGTATACAATGTCGACGCTCGTCCGTCCAGCGATCGGGGAAATTCAGGGGGAACTTTGTGACCCTGCCATGACGAGGGAGAGGGCATTGTGCGTTAATTGTCGTCTACGGCGACGCCACTAATCGGACCGGCGCCTCGGGTTCCCGAAACGCGGACCTTCTTAAAGGTGCCGGCTAAAAGGAGGTATACAATGTCGACGCTCGTCCGTCCAGCGATCGGGGAAATCCAGGGGGAGCTTTGTGACCCTGCCATGACGAGGGAGAGGGCATTGTGCGTTAATTGTCGTCTACGGCGACGCCACTAATCGGACCGGCGCCTCGGGTTCCCGAAACGCGGACCTTCTTAAAGGTGCCGGCTAAAAGGAGGTATACAATGTCGACGCTCGTCCGTCCAGCGATCGGGGAAATTCAGGGGGAACTTTGTGACCCTGCCATGACGAGGGAGAGGGCATTGTGCGTTAATTGTCGTCTACGGCGACGCCACTAATCGGACCGGCGCCTGGGGTCCCCGAAACGCGGACCTTCTTAAAGGTGCCGGCTAAAAGGAGGTATACAATGTCGACGCTCGTCCGTCCAGCGATCGGGGAAATCCAGGGGGAACTTTGTGACCCTGCCATGACGAGGGAGAGGGCATTGTGCGTTAATTGTCGTCTACGGCGACGCCACTAATCGGACCGGCGCCTCGGGTTCCCGAAACGCGGACCTTCTTAAAGGTGCCGGCTAAAAGGAGGTATACAATGTCGACGCTCGTCCGTCCAGCGATCGGGGAAATTCAGGGGGAACTTTGTGACCCTGCCATGACGAGGGAGAGGGCATTGTGCGTTAATTGTCGTCTACGGCGACGCCACTAATCGGACCGGCGCCTCGGGTTCCCGAAACGCGGACCTTCTTAAAGGTGCCGGCTAAAAGGAGGTATACAATGTCGACGCTCGTCCGTCCAGCGATCGGGGAAATTCAGGGGGAACTTTGTGACCCTGCCATGACGAGGGAGAGGGCATTGTGCGTTAATTGTCGTCTACGGCGACGCCACTAATCGGACCGGCGCCTCGGGTTCCCGAAACGCGGACCTTCTTAAAGGTGCCGGCTAAAAGGAGGTATACAATGTCGACGCTCGTCCGTCCAGCGATCGGGGAAATTCAGGGGGAACTTTGTGACCCTGCCATGACGAGGGAGAGGGCATTGTGCGTTAATTGTCGTCTACGGCGACGCCACTAATCGGACCGGCGCCTCGGGTTCCCGAAACGCGGACCTTCTTAAAGGTGCCGGCTAAAAGGAGGTATACAATGTCGACGCTCGTCCGTCCAGCGATCGGGGAAATTCAGGGGGAACTTTGTGACCCTGCCATGACGAGGGAGAGGGCATTGTGCGTTAATTGTCGTCTACGGCGACGCCACTAATCGGACCGGCGCCTCGGGTTCCCGAAACGCGGACCTTCTTAAAGGTGCCGGCTAAAAGGAGGTATACAATGTCGACGCTCGTCCGTCCAGCGATCGGGGAAATTCAGGGGGAACTTTGTGACCCTGCCATGACGAGGGAGAGGGCATTGTGCGTTAATTGTCGTCTACGGCGACGCCACTAATCGGACCGGCGCCTCGGGTTCCCGAAACGCGGACCTTCTTAAAGGTGCCGGCTAAAAGGAGGTATACAATGTCGACGCTCGTCCGTCCAGCGATCGGGGAAATTCAGGGGGAACTTTGTGACCCTGCCATGACGAGGGAGAGGGCATTGTGCGTTAATTGTCGTCTACGGCGACGCCACTAATCGGACCGGCGCCTGGGGTCCCCGAAACGCGGACCTTCTTAAAGGTGCCGGCTAAAAGGAGGTATACAATGTCGACGCTCGTCCGTCCAGCGATCGGGGAAATCCAGGGGGAGCTTTGTGACCCTGCCATGACGAGGGAGAGGGCATTGTGCGTTAATTGTCGTCTACGGCGACGCCACTAATCGGACCGGCGCCTGGGGTCCCCGAAACGCGGACCTTCTTAAAGGTGCCGGCTAAAAGGAGGTATACAATGTCGACGCTCGTCCGTCCAGCGATCGGGGAAATTCAGGGGGAACTTTGTGACCCTGCCATGACGAGGGAGAGGGCATTGTGCGTTAATTGTCGTCTACGGCGACGCCACTAATCGGACCGGCGCCTGGGGTCCCCGAAACGCGGACCTTCTTAAAGGTGCCGGCTAAAAGGAGGTATACAATGTCGACGCTCGTCCGTCCAGCGATCGGGGAAATCCAGGGGGAACTTTGTGACCCTGCCATGACGAGGGAGAGGGCATTGTGCGTTAATTGTCGTCTACGGCGACGCCACTAATCGGACCGGCGCCTGGGGTCCCCGAAACGCGGACCTTCTTAAAGGTGCCGGCTAAAAGGAGGTATACAATGTCGACGCTCGTCCGTCCAGCGATCGGGGAAATCCAGGGGGAGCTTTGTGACCCTGCCATGACGAGGGAGAGGGCATTGTGCGTTAATTGTCGTCTACGGCGACGCCACTAATCGGACCGGCGCCTGGGGTTCCCGAAATGCGGACCTTTCTGAAGTGCCTGCTGAAAGGAGGTAGAGAGGGCCGACGACCGTCCAGTGTTCGGCTAAAGGCATCTGGAACCGGGTGGGTGACCTTGCCATGCCGAGGGAGAGGACATTGTGCGTTACTTGGGCGGAATTTGGGAAAGTGACATCGAAACACGATTGGTAAAATGACAAGGGAGAGGGCATTGTGCGTTTCTTGGGCGGAGTTTGGAAAGTTAAATCGAAACACGATTGGTGAAGTGACGGCGGAGAGGGGAGAGTGATTGTTTGAACCTGCCATGGTTTGTCTCATGAGGAGACAAAAATGGGAGACGAAGCAGAATGGGGAAAGCTCGACTGTAACTGGAGAGTGTCGAACGACGAGATTTCATGCTGTGCACGCACCATGCTGTAAACTATTTGTAATGACCTGTAAATACATTTCCTACTTCAACTTTGAACGTCGTCTCCTTGATCCTTCGGCCAGCATCGCCGAGCTACGTGGAAAGAAGCTGGCCTTCCTCCATAGTAGAGAAGCAACGAACTTTACTGCGTCCTTCAGGAATTTTTACAGCGGGATGCTGTTAATCGTACAAGCACGCACTGCATCCAAAAGCAAAGCACATTTCTAGTGCCTTCGATTGAGGAGGGCACTCGGCACAAAATTGCTCGCTCTTTTAATTCGGGAAGTTCCCAGCGCGACCAAAAAGAGCGATACCGAGACAATGAACGCCACTTCAGCGAGGCCGGCATTAGAGATGCCGAGATGTTGCTTACTTCAAACCACTTCTGGACTGTGCCGGGGTGGAGCTTAGCGCAAAATGTCAACCTCCTCTCCCTCCTTTTTGCCCCCTTTCACGTGCACAGTAAACCAAATTTGGCTAACTTGCTCACCGTATTCGAAACTCGAAAGCAGTTCATGGCTGTTAAAGTGCTGACACTTCATGTGTTCTTTAACTGCAGGCTGCCACGCTGATGCCCTGCCTTTGACATCTGGCCAGTTGCCGACCCCGTGCCTGGACACTGGTGAGTACTCCGGCTTATTCTGTACTCAAAAGCAGTCCATGGCTGCTAGAGCTGATGCCTAACCTTAGTAATAAGCTAATCAGTCAGATATCTGAGATCGTATCTGACTCCCTGCTCTTCTGTCTGCAACAAAAGTTTCTCAACTTAAACCAGATTGAAGACCTGCAAAGGAGACTAACTTCAGCTTAGAGGCAGTGGAACGAAACACCTCTCCACAGTGAAATCCTCACAGCTGGACTGCAGAACTACCCTGGTGACGAATCCAGTGCCTGAAAAAAACTACCATGAAAAGTACCGCATGGAGTACCGACACTCTCTAGAAAGCCCTTAAAGGGGCACTGACACCCCAAAGGTCGTATCTTTTTTTATTGTCTAAAACGATGCAAGTTGCAGTCATACCATCGCAAAAAAAAATTTCCCGCGCATGCGCGCATGCCTTTCTATTTTTGGTGTTTGATTCTCCCGCCTCTCACCTCCTCGCTTCTTTTGATTCGTGACGTCAAGAATCATGAAATTTAGAAGCTTTGTAGGCAACATCTCTATAACATTTAATAATGGCAATCGTAAAACATGTTTTTAACGCAATTGCAAACGCACTACGGCCCTTCTTTTTGAAATACCAAAAATCGGAGTCCGTGGTGGTGCCGTCTCTTGGATTTGTATCCTCCCACGGAAAACAGGTGACACCGCTCAAAACCGGTCCGCCGTCGCTTGCTCTTTTCCTCCTCGCTTTGGATCGCCATGGCAACAGCAGGGAGTCGTGAAAGAAAGTGGACTCTCAGGACTCCGCAATATTTGACGTCAACGCACCGACGCGGATCGCGCGGGAACTTTGAATTCGGCATTTGGAAATTGTTTTTTGACTTCACAAATACTGAATTCCCAAATTTCGAATTTTGAGGATAATGTTCCCGCATTGTTTCCAATCGTTTCGGATAATAAAAAAAAATATTTTGATGTGTCAGTGCCCCTTTAGAGGGATACTGAACCGATATCTGAAGTTTTCAATATAAGCCCCGGACGAGGTGCCCCGGACGTTACTATACCTAAAAATCAAGACCATACCAAGGGATCGGACTATTATATTTCTTTGATTGAAAAGCCGCGATGGGGCAATCCGTCGGCCGAAAGCCGCCGGTACGATTGACGCCACCGCGGAGGAGCCCGAGCGGAACTGACGTCACAGACCTCTCGCTCCTTGGCAGCCTGGCTTGTCCCGCTGCAGTCCTAATGGAGAACCGCGTCGAGTGATCGAGGGATCGAAGAAACTCGATCCATTCGGATCGAGTTTCTTCGATAGTTATGCCGCGGTACTGCGCTGCACGAGACTGCTCAAACAGCGTATGTTGCAGCAGCAGGCCTGCGCACAAGTTTCCGAGTGAGCCCACATTGCGCAAGCTGTGGATTCGCGCGGCCCGTCCTTCCCAGCCAACATGGAAGCCCACCAAAGGCGATTGTCTTTGCATGGAACACTTCGAAGACGAGGACTACAAGACGAGCCCAAAGTTACGCAGAGTCTGGGCTTGCCTGTAAAACAGGCCTATTTGAAGCCTGGCATGGTGCCATCGCTCTTCACACGAAAATGCAAGCGAGAGCGGCACAGCGGTGCTGTGGAAAAACGGCGACGCAAAGAGGTGAGCGCAGCTACCGAAATATTTTTCTGCTTCTTTCCCAGTGGAAAGCACGAATGCGAGTGGTCGTGGAATTAGCGTAGTACATAGCGCAAAACTGCTAGCGCGAGCAAGTGAACGCTGATTTTTTTGCTTTTGTTTTGCTGTCACGTAAAGTGGGAAGTGCTCATTTGCGGCACTCACCTGAGCTGTAAAGTATCGTGCCTACTAACTCGCCTTTGAGGTCGAATGCGGAAAAACGCCGAGATTGTGTTCTCGCTAACAGCGTCGCGCAGGGTAAGTGTGTACAACATTCGTGTTCGCTCTCGTCCCCTTATCCGTACGTAAGGTGGCCGCCAATCGCAGGTACTCCACTGTCGGTACCGTGTACATGGCGAGACTGCAGCTATACTCTGTTCCACCTTATGATGTACCGCAGGAAAGGCTAAAATCGCGAGCTCCTTGCTTTAGGGCACATCTCGGCGGCGCAAGCTCTCGTGCAAGAAGGGCAGCTGCCTACGCTGTGAGCTCGCGCTTCTAGCCTTCGTTGCGGTACAACATAAGGTGAAACGGAGTATAGTAGCTGCGGCGATGGCACTCGGTACGCGGGCTCATGTGGTAGAAACTTGCTTTGAAGCTACGAGCTTGCGCCGGCACCTTTGGCTCAATTGTGAAGGCTGGTATTTATCGGTATTACTACTGATAAATGCCAGCTAATTTTAATTTGAGAAATTTGGCATAAACAAATAAATATCGAATATTGGTTTGGGCTATCTGAAAATGGCACGTAGGACCGAGTTGAACCATTCCTGGGAGAATGTGGTTAATTGATGATCTACATACTTCCTTTTGGTTTGCAGCTGGTATGTTCCGAGCTTGAGCAGGATGTGCAAACTCCGCGGCATCTTGAGCATGTGCTATTCCTCATTGTGGCGAATAAGGAGATGCTGCTGAATTTCGGAATAGGATACCCACAGTATGAGTGCCACGCCATTTAGAAAAGTGTGAGTGTATACATCATTCTGTTTTGGAAAACTCGTTTCCCTCACTGGTCCTCTCTTCCTGATGAGGTGGTCAAGCTGCCGTCGCTTCATCTGTTCAGTGTTAACCTGGAAGGCCGTTTCTCTCAATTGCGGAAAATAAATGAAAAAGAGTGCTGTAGTTTTTTTTAATGAGAACCTTGTTATGTACATATGCGTGTACTATAACCTAAACCTGCAATTAATGTTTCCGCCCCTCGTTTATATTTCTGATCACTATGACGATATCTTAGTTATACAGTCAAACCTCATTATATCGAACACAGATATATAGATTTATTGCTTATATCGAATCGTTGTCGAACTGTCATACGAATTACATGCATTTTAAATTTTTTATAACAGACTCAGTCGGTTAAAAAATTAATATATCGAACTCCGCAGCGCCGGAAAGCGTGCGCTCCGGAGACAGGCGGCAGGCTTTCCGGCACAACATCAAAGGATACGGCGGGCTTTCCCGCAACACATTGGAGGATAGCGGTTGCGCTGCAGGCGTTTGCGACTTTTACAAGCGCATGCCTGCGTAAAGTTTTATACCTATGATGCCGGGAGCGCGATCCAGACTTAGCCACTCAGCGGCATACAGGCTCAGTCGCTCAGTCAGCTCAATCAGCTCAATCGTATTGCCAGCATGCTTCGCCAGTATCGCTATTTTCATGCGCTGTGCATAGATCCCGCAGTTTTGTTCCTCCGGGTTCATTCCTCCGAAGTTGCGTCAACCGCATATGGCGCACTGATGGCAACAGACGTAAAGAAACGTACGCCGCTGACGTTTGCGACGAAGCTTGAAATCATCTGCCACGTCGAAAACGGAGAAAAGAAGTCCAGCGTTGCCGAAGCGTACAACATACCGCGAAGAAATTTGAGCATGCTGCTGAAGACTGTGGGCACCCTGGCGGCTCCCCGGCCAAGTTGCCCGACTGCGAGGCAAAGGTGCCGAAGTTCTCCCGCGTGGCGGCGATGTCACGCCAGCCACGCACACATCGGATGCGCCGCCTTGATATGGCAGATAAGAGGCGGCGCACGGAGGGTCGCTGGCTGGACTCCGGCAGCGCCGGTAGCAATGTTAATCGTCTTGTCTATGTCCAATTAAATGTAGTTTCTTGTTGTTGAAACCGTTGGCTTCGTGATATTCCTCCGGGTCGGGTATGCAGCAAGGCAAACCGACCACAATGGCGCCCAACCGTGGTATGCTACCCACTCGTAGGAATTTCACGGGGCTTCGTTTCTTCTTTCGGTAAGCCTTTTTCATATTCCCCGTGTTTCCTATCGTTGTTTCGTACTTCCGTCACGTCCACGTTTGTTGTATTGGCGTGTTTCTGACTGTGTTTTTGTGACCGCGGCAATCGTTTTGCGCGCTTGTGTTGGGTTTTTGGGGGCGTTTCTTTTTTTGTGCTTGCAGGAATGCTTACGCGACGCAGCACCCGGATGAAAGTCTGGCCCGGTACGTTCGGGTCATGCAGGAGCTCTTCAAGAGGGCGGACCCGAAGTCACCGGAATCGGACAGAGTAGCTCGGGTCAGAAGACAGTGTCACCCCAGGTACCACGTCTACCTGATCAACCGCACCTTTGAGACCCTTGAAGAGCTAGCCCGGGGCGCCCGCCTCATCGAGGAAGCTCTTCATGCCGAGCGGAACTACGTGCCGCCGCCACCAGCCAAGTACACGCTTGAGCCGGCATGCGCATGGCGGGGCCCCGAGGCCTCCACGCAAGTGGACTGTCCGAACGAGACCTCCCTTCCCCACCACGTCAACCAGGAGAGTTGGCGTGGCATGCATGGTGAACTCCCGTGCGGGATAAGCGTATGTTCGCCTAACTCTCCCCGAGAGGTCCCCGGAGGTCACAGCGAGGCCCGTGAGGGTTTCGGGCGGGGTTCGCCACGACAGGTGGGAGGTCGTTGGCCGTGCCCTATCGCAAGCTGGGGCCCAACGGAGATCACCACCCAAGCGAACCATCTTCATCAGTCTGCTCCTGCAAGTGCTGGCGAAAACTGGCACGGTGCGGTCGCAAACCCGCAGCCCAGCAGCATTGACCCCCGCCGCAACGGAACAAGCCCTCCTGACAACAGCCAGCCGCAAGCCTGGTGGAGGCCCTCCCATAGTGGTTCCTTATCCGATCACTGGAGGCGGTCCGACGGGCACCTCGGTGCGGGTGACCTAAGCAGGCAACTGTCGTCGGACTGCTGCTACCACTGCGAGCAGCCCGGCCATCACCGAAACCAGTGTCCAAGACTTCTGGACACTACAAACAAGAGGTGGCACGAGACGGCGGCAAAGGGCCGGAACCAAAACAACCAGGGAAACTACTACGGCCGGCGACGCTGAAACCAGACAGCCACTCGCCGACGGCCGGTGCAGTCCCTGGGAGCGGTCAGGCCGCGGCGCAGATTCCATCGGTATGTCGAATCCAGCCCGAGCCTAACATCATTGAACCGCGCATGACAATATCACTGCTCGATTTTCCCATTGCCGTACTTTTGGATTCTGGGGCCGCTATCTCGCTCATAGGGGATTTCGTTTTCGAACTCTGCAAAGCAAAAAAGATAAGCCTCCGGGAGTGCGAAACCCGTTTGCAGCTAGCTTCTGGTACAGCGATAACAGCTGGAGGAGCAGTGAGGCTGCAGATTCGGTTTAATGGAAAGAAGCGGCGTCAGCGATTTCTTTATATGCCAGGACTTGTGTGTACCCGTGATCTTGGGCCGAGATTTCATTACAGGCGAAAGCATGACACTCGACTTTTCTGGTGGTGGATACCGGCTGGGACAACAACCGGAGCTGACTCCGTTTACCAAAAGAGAGGACTGCATCCCTAACCCGACCACCGCAGCCCACTTCACCACGATGCCAGACGTCTTGCCTGTCGGCGTTCCGGACCGTGATACCCCGCAAGCTACGTAAGCTTTTCATCCGATACATGCATGACTCTGCCTTGGCAGGACACAGCAGTGGGAGCAAGACTTACGAAAAGTTATCCCAAATTGCTACCTGGCCAGGCATGAGGCAAGATGTGCTCCGATATGCTCGTAGCTGCTCGGTGTGCCAGAAGGCAAAACCACGTGGTGGCCAGCCCCCCGGTCTAATGCAACCAATCGCGAGTCAGAGCCCTTGGCAGATTTGTTGCTGTGACGTCATGGGCCCCTTCCCACGTAGTACCCGGGGTAATCAGTACTTATTCGTGGTAACCGACCACTTCACGAAGTGGGTCGAGTTATTCCCTTTGCGGAAACTAGATTCGCAAAAAATCTGGGAGTGTCTACTCGAAACATTCGCTAGGTTTGGCTTTCCTGCACAGCTTGTAAGCGATAATGCCTCCTATCTCACGAGTAAGGTGTTTGTGGACGCATGCGCGGCACTGGGAATCAAGCACAAAAGAACTTCCCCGTACCACCCGCAAGCAAACATCACGGAAAGGGTAAATCGAAACCTTAAGATGATGCTAGTGGCCTACACCGAGCGCCACAAGGACTGGGACGCGAAACTGCCCGAGCTGGCATTCGCAACCCGTACAACCACGAATCGGTCAACGGGTCTCACTCCTGCCCAATTAAATTTCGGCAAGGAGCTCGCATTCCCGCTTTCTAACAGCCTCCTTTCTACAGAGTCTGGAGGAAGGCCTCGCCCCTACGTGAAGTTCGCAGAGGACCTGCGAAAGCGCTTCTCCGATAACCTTCGAGAGGCCAGAGAAAATCTCGACGTCGCCCGGGTACAGCAGGCTGAACAGTACAACCGGGGCCGACGTGACTTGCAGTTCGAGGTGGGAGATTTTGTACTCCGGCGTACTCACCCACTGAGTGATGCCGCTCGAGGCTTCGCAGCCTCCCTCGCCAACAGGTGGGAAGGTCCGTTTCGCGTGCGTGAAAAGTGCTCACCACTCACTTACAAACTAGTTAACTGTGAGTCTAGTGAGGAAACCGGACCTGTTCATGTCACCGACCTTAAACGATTTTTTCAAGCAGAAGACGAAGATTTCTCGCAGGACCGGAACGACACTGACGGCAGTCCCGTTCCGGAAACCCCCTTGTCTCCACCGAGGCGGCGGTATAACCTGCGACGTCGGTGGCACCAAAGAGAGAGGAACCCTTTTTTTTTTGTCTCCTTGGCCTCTCTCGCATTTTGGGGGTAGTTGTCTACTTCCACGGATCTGCCCCCTTTTCAAGAGAGGGGGGAGAAGATTGTGTGCCCACCTCAGATCCGTTATTTCAAACTTTCTGGAAGGGGTGCGAAGATGACGTTAGGCTCGACCCTCAACTGAGCTCCATGTCGTCTGCTTCCTTGTTTTTCTGTGGAGCTGGCTCATGGACACCACCGTCACCACAGCCGCCATCGGAATGACACGGCGGCCGGTCTCATGGTGGACCGGGCCACCAAGGACGTCGGCGCGCCAGGGGCAGCCCAGAAAACCATGGACCACGTGCAGAGCAGCCACCTGCTGGAGGCCTGGTCCAGAACAAGCTCAAGCGACAAGCTGGAGCTGACCGAGCCGCCGCGCTCGTCAGCAGCCGCCGCGCTCGTCCAGCAGGCGCCGGCCGGACTTACAACGTCAGTCCGCCCAACAGCGCCATCCACCCCCTGACGCCCACAACGTCTCCCGTCATCGACATGCCGGACGAAGCTTGAGGGGGGGGAAGTGTGGGCACCCTGGCGGCTCCCCGGCCAAGTTGCCCGACTGCGAGGCAAAGGTGCCGAAGTTCTCCCGCGTGGCGGCGATGTCACGCCAGCCACGCACACATCGGATGCGCCGCCTTGATATGGCAGATAAGAGGCGGCGCACGGAGGGTCGCTGGCTGGACTCCGGCAGCGCCGGTAGCAATGTTAATCGTCTTGTCTATGTCCAATTAAATGTAGTTTCTTGTTGTTGAAACCGTTGGCTTCGTGATATTCCTCCGGGTCGGGTATGCAGCAAGGCAAACCGACCACAAGACAAACAGTGACATCAAATCGAAGGCTGAACGAAGCAAGCAGTCCGGCGTACACCGTGTTCGGACACCGGTTTTCGAAAAGGTGGAAAGATTACTTTACGAGTGGTTCATGGACACAAGGGCTCGGAACATTCCGATATCGGGGCCGATGCTTCAACAGAAAGCAAAAGACTTTGCGTTCATCCACCAAGCACAAAACTTGGACGACTTGGGGTGAAACTGTGGCTGCTTTGATGCTTTTACGCCGCTACTGAAGCGCAATTCCAACGGTAGTGGTAAGGTGCTTGTGGACTTGGAGACCATGGAGCGGGTCATAGTAAGGCATGCGGTCTACTCCAAGAAGCAATCTACGCTGCGGCAGTTTTCTTCGCCGAAATAAATAGTTAATCTTAAAGCTTCACGTGAGTAGTCGTTCTTGCCGCAAGCTTGTTAGTGATTGAATCGCGATGCACTTTGACGCGTTTTTGGTGTGATTTTGTATATAGAATTTTGGTTATATTGAATTATTTGGCGGTTCTCGCACTGTTGGATATAACGAGGTTCGACTGTAGACCAACAGGCGGCCCTGATGTCACGCAGCTGCGGTGGCGCTGTTAACGGCACTGTGCAGGCGCAGACACTTGAATTGGGTTTCTGCGCAGTCCCTGGTGTGGGCGAATGCAGGCTTGTTGGGAAACAGTGTGTCGGTCTATAAGATCTTGTTTCCTCTATGTTCTTCCCATGCATTGAATACATGCTCGCAATAATGCTTCAAGACGACAAGTGCCGAGAAGGCCTTAAAACCTGGTGGTGTAGGAAATTAAATTGCAGCAAAAATTGATTCTTGTGCCAAAAATAGATGCTGCTAAATGTGTGCCAATTTATAACAAAAATAAACACTGTGACATCTTTTGCTGAGTTACTTTGTTTTAATCTCGTGGAATATGGTGTTTATTTATAAAGTTCACTGGGAGCACCAGCTGGCCATTTATGACAGTTGCACCCCAATCATGAGGCTATTATAAGTGCTTGTTCCATTTCTCGGCTCGAGGCCACTAATTAACTTTGGTCGTCATTCGACCGTTCCATCTTAGTGTTCATGATTGTGCACTTGACGGTGCAATTTGCTTACCAGTTCAAGTAAAGTCCAGATGAGGAGGGTACACAGAGTGACATGAGCCTAACAAAGATAAGGGCTCGGGCCAGTCACCCTCATTTGAGCCAAACCTGGGTGTTAGCAGCATATTGACAGTGCATGTTTGTTTTGCATGTTGTAAGTTTTTATGCCTATTATTTATAGATAATTGACGAATTAATGAAGGCACCGGCACAAGCAACGGCCACACTCATCGCTGAAGAGGTCAGCACATCGTCAACCCCTTCTGCTGACGACACAGAGCAAGGTCCTGACTCTGGACATGAACCAATGCACGATGCAAGTGCTGGCATCGAAAAACCTTTTTCGAGCTCAGGTATGTGCGCCGATTGAAACCACTCAGCTTACATATTTTAGTAGTTAATTCTGCCAAATTAGGGTAATCTATAGTCTACAGTGAAACTCGTTTAAAACGAACCCACATACAGCGAATTATTGTCGATATCGAACTCACGAAAAATTAAAATGAAAATGTATGTGAAAAGTACTTTTTGTAACGGACAACAGATTGACTATATCGAACTTTTTCCCCCTGGGAAGGCTTCCAAAAACGCGCAAACGATCGTCTTTCAGCCAATGCCTTCGCCCGAAAAAGTGAAGGAAAGAAAAAAAATTCCAAAAGCTCGAGCTGCAAACAAAAATAAGCGAAGAAAAGCGATTCCGAAGGGCACAGAAAAAAAAAAAGAAATCTTTTAAGTGCGAAGCGGTTGCTTACGAAGAAAAGCAATTAAAAAACGTAGGTAAGCTAAAAAAAAAAACCTTTCTAGTGCGTTGTTACAAGGCGGAAGCGAAGAGACGAGAAAGAAAAAGAAGTTCTCGCCTCCTCTCCCTTCGCGCCTTGTTTCACCTAAAGTCACTTTAGTTTGACCTAGGGGGCCTTCATGTCCCGCCGAAGAGAACTTGAAGGAACTCTAGTTTGACCCTCCTCACCTTGCGCATTCACTTGGGGCTTGACACACCACGCCCCAAGAAGCAATAAGCCTATCGCATTTCAGATTCCATAGCATTGTCACATGCCGTTGAAAGCGTCAACCACAGGCAAAACTCTCTCTCTCTCCCCCTCCCTCCTTTCTTCTCGTTAATTTAGTCGTTGTTTGTTGTCGTCTTTCTTGTCCCCAATGCACTTTCTGTTCACTGTACGGGCCAGCTAGTTCGCGCCCGAAATGACGACGAAGCAGCGGCAGGCTCTGCCACTTTCCGACAAGGTCGACATCATCAGTTGTGTGGAGCACGGCGAAAAGAAATCAGACGTTGCCGCTGCCTACAAGATCCCCAGAAGTATGCTGAGTACAATTCTTAAAAACAAGTCTGCCATCCGAGACAAGGCCCGTGAACGGCTAAATGCGGACAGCAGGCGCATCCGCAAGCCGGCGTACGGCAAGGTGGAAAAAGCGCTGTACCAATGGTTTTTGGACATTTGTGCGCGGAACCTGCTGGTCTCCGGACCAATGTTGCAAAGCAAGGCAAGAAATTTTGCACCCCTCCTGAACGTTGAGGGCTTCACCGCTGGATCTGGGTGGCTGCAGCGATTTAAAGATCCATATTTAACCGCCGGGAAAGTCGTAGCTCGGTTTTGTAAGTGGGTTTTGCTATATCGAACTACTTGCTATATCGAACTGATCGTAGTGTTTCCTGCTGTTCGTTATAAACGGGTTTCACTGTATTGCTGACTGCATGAGCCAAGGGTGATTTTGTTTTGAAACACACTTTATTTCCTCTGCTGTGAACAGCCCCCTCCATCAGTAATGCCAAACAGGCTCCTGACCTTCGGACCGCTGCTACGCATCTACAGAAATCAATGTACGTATCTGCAAAAAGAAATTTCTCAGAAGGCAGCATTGTTTAGATCGTTGTAACACGTTATGATGGCACAGGCATACAAGTCACCATGAAGACTTCATCACGACAGTCCCAAACAAGTCCTGTCCTCGTGACACCACAATGCTCCTCACCAAATCATGTCCCCCAGGCTCCATTGGATTGGATGTTGCCTGAAGGGCTGACGCTGTCGCCACAGCCGCCAGAGCCCAGACAACCAGCTCTACCACCAGACCCACCACAGCTGCCAACAATAGACAATGAGCTCCCCTCTGACGCTAGCTTTCTCATGATGATGTCCGGCACCGGCTTTCTGAGGTTGGTATCAGTCGGATATATGTCATCTTTAGTAAAGAGTATGAGGGGGTGTGTAAGAGGTTGCTTCTTTTTTCTTTTTTTATTTCAGGGATGCACAACAGAACACCGCATGTGACAGCGCACTCAGTCAGCATGAGAGCAGCAAAAGCATCGACTACGTCTCGGAACGAAAGTTTATTGTTTTCGAGTCTTGTTTGGACGAGCTACTGGGTAATTGACCTGAGTACACTGCACTGTGCCGCATCACAGAGAAGAAGCTCAAAGGGACGTGTCTCCGGGTGCACAGAATGTGCAACAATGGCCACCAACACACCTGGACCAGCCAACCACCAGTGAATAGGAGGGCCCTAGGCAATGTGCTCCTAGCTGCAGCCACACTCTTCTCTGGGAGCATCGTCAAAAAAGTGCTGAGGCTCCTCCGCCAGATGGGCGTGCCCTGTTTCTCGTACGAGACATACTTCAAGATTCAGGGTGCCTTCCTTCTACCAGCAATCAGACAGGTATGGCACGTTTCAAGCTTTTCCGTACCTGTGAAAGGGGTTTATTTTAGGTGCCAATATTTCAGGCTCAGCACTCTTATGGGATCCTGAATGGTGCAGTACATCCTTTGAAGCACCATATGTTTCTGTCTACAAGTCACACACTCCTATAATCGGCTGTTTTTACAAAAAGGTTGATATATACATGTTTGCAAGTACGGCCCCAGGGTGCCACCATCTTGCCGAGCTGGGGTATGCTTGGGCGTGGCCATAGTCTGGTTACGACACCTTAGTGAGGCATCATAATCCAATTTGGCGTACCCAAGTGCACCCCAACTGAGCAAGGTGGCAGCGCCCCGAGGCCGCGGACTTGCAAACGTCTATAGGTGGCACATCTTTATACGGACCGCAAGGCAAAACTGCATCGATGAGCTGTCATATGTATATTGTAATCTAAGCACAAGTAAGAGTTAGCTTCAATGTTGAACTACCGTGGGAAAGGTGTTCTGATGTGGCCGGCTGGAAGCTTTGCTGGAAGCCGGCATATTGCCAAGCTTCCGATTGTAAGGAAAAGCCGCAGTACCCGAAGACTACATCTAATGGATCTAGGTCTGTGCGATGCAATACAAACTACGGGCTCTGCCAATTTCCCTTTGTTGTAACTGTTGATACGGCCTTGCACAGCTATGGTTTATACTTGTAAAAAAAAGTAAGTCGCACCTTTGTGTAAGATGCACTGAGAGAAATTTGAGGAAAGAAACAATTTACATGCCGGAAAATATCGTAAATAGGGAGAGTTGAGATGTGTCCTCTGCACCTATTTTGACCACACTCCGAGGGTGGAAAGGTACCAACTGTGTGTGCAAAGTAATACAGGGCACATACTTCGAAGACTCGCCGCATTCCATGTGGGGAAACCGTCGCCTCCTTGGTTTCTGAACGGGGAGGCAATGTTTTCAGTTCTTGTTCTCCTGCTTTGTGACTGACTGCACCTACTGGAGAAGTGGGCAGCGTAAAGGACATATTTTGATGTGGGGAATAAGTAAAAGAAGCAACAATAAATGTTCCCCAGTTCGATTGTAAAGATTAATTGGCCAGTACTCTATTTTTATACCGAGTGGCATTTCTTCAAGGTCGCTCTTGAGAAGGCAGCTCCTCGGCAGCCAAACTGTGCTTGTTGAATGCTACGAGGGGAACAAGACCTGAACAGGCAGGGGTCTATGCGACCTAAGTAAGTCCAACACTATGCTGCTTGAGTTTCAATGCGGAAAGTGTCAAAAGCTATTCATCAACTTTCCCATGCATGGATAATAGAAAAAACAAAGTGTTTTGCCAATCTACCTAAATGTGCATATGTGCCTTCAGTATTTATACCCACGACATGGATCATTTCATCCCCTCATTTTGAATATAAAGACAAATTACAATTTGTCAATGCTTTGATCGCATTAGCTGGGATTGAAACTTAAATGCTCAACTTCCATGGGAGTTCACATAAACGAAAGAAGCTTGCAGTATACTTATAGGTGAAATGAAAAACATGTCCAGGATTTATGTTTGTTTAGAAAAGTCTTTGCAAATAGACTTCCAGGTGTGGAACAGGAAACAAAACGAGCTCTTTGAGCAAGCAAGTGGACGAGAACTGGTCCTCGCTGGTGATGGGCGGTCAGACTCCCCCGGGCACTCAGTGAAATATGGAACGTACACCGTTGTTGACGTGTCAACGAACAAGGTTCTCCATGTGGAAACAGTGCAGGTAAATTCCCCTGCTATAAATGTTCTGATGCTTCTGTTCCACTGAAATGAAACCTTTCTGTAATTAAGTGAAAATGAATGGCGAAAACAACATTTTTCAGACATGCATTGTCTCATTCAACAGGTCTAGTTGACTTTGTTCTGGATACTTCATGTTTGGTGTGATAATGCAATGTTCTATTTGTCGCTTCAGTCCAACGAAACAAAGGGCAGCTGGGCAATGGAGCTCAAGGGCCTGAAAAGGACTCTAGTGTTTTGTGAAGCCAATGGATTGACTGTGGGAGGAATCATCACTGATCGCCACTCCATGATCAAGTCATTCCTTGCCAAGTGGTACCCCCAGATTCGGCACATGTTCGACTGCCGGCACGTTGCAAAAGGTGAGCCATAAGTAATCGGGGTTCCAGGTTATGCAAAAACAAAATATTTAATTGCGGAACGCTCTTACCCTTGCCTGTCACTATAGTTTGTTTCTGCGCATGTTGTACTGCAGGAAAGGCTACAAGCATGAGCTCCTTGCTCTGTGGCAACTGCTCGGCGGCACAAGCTCTCGTGCAGCAGAAGCAGCTGCCAAGGCCATGAGCTTGCGCTTCTAGTTTTCGCTGCGGTACAATATAAGCTGAAACATAAGTTGCGTTTACATGAATGCGACTTAGTCGATTTGAATCCAGTTGTCGCATTCAATGCGGTCATGTAAACAAAATAATACTCTAGGGGAGCGCATCGCATTCAAGTCCCTAGACAGAGGTGGATTGAGAGGGCGAATGGGCATTTATTCAAACCATGTAAATGGAGGTTGCATTGCAATTTGGATCGGGGAGGATTATGGGAAAGCACCCACTGTGGGAGCGAGTGCACAACTGAGAACATAGTGACCCTCGGTGGCGGCGGAGAGCAGTCCCGTGGGGTCACCCGCAATTTTCTCAAGAGAAGAACCGCAAGCTTTTATTGTCAAACTAAGTGAGCGGAAGGTTGCGAAGCTGCTTGGTGAGGGCGGCCCTTGTCCAAGCCTTGTGAAATAGGACCCTCGCGTCCGAAGGAGGCCCTAGAGGCTTCAGTGCAAGGACAAACGACGCCGATAACTCTGAGCACTGCATGGTAGCACAGAAGGAGGAGCTGCAACCTCAATGCCGTTCCTGGCTGCGCCAGAGCCTTTCGGCCTCAGGGTCCGGTCGCGGTTGGCAAGGTTGGGCGAGGTGAAGCGAGGTGGCGTCCCCAGAGCGCTTAGAAACAATCTCGCTTGCCAGGCCGTGCGCACGCATGTTGCCGGAGCCCAAAATGCTTGGATTTTGATGTTTCTTCCGTCCCTTAACTATTTTCTCAGCATGGAAGACAGCGGGCACAATCTTTACACTTGACGGAAGCGTCTAAAAGCCTTTAATACAGGAAAGTGTCCTAGAGTGAGATATCCCCATGTTTTTTTTTTTTATACTTGAGAAAATGGGGCAGAATTGGGTTTTTCTTGTTTTTGGTGTTCATAATTATGAACTCTTTATTTTGTCAAGCTGTGGTTTCTGGCAATCTAAGCTTGGTGCTTAGCAGAATGAATGCAATGCTTCATTTTTCAGGCATCAAGAAACGCTTGGTCTCAGCTGGAAAACTCAAGTCCCTTGTGGGACTCCAAGACTGGGTGGAGGCAATCGTCAAGCACCTTTATTGGTGTGCGGAATCGAGCAATGGAGCGCCGGAGGAGATCCTTCCAAAGTGGACTTCCCTGGTGGGACACGTGGCTGACTTGCACGAACATGCCAACCCCCTGTATCCAAGGTGCCAGCGCGGAGACCTGGGGAAGAAAAAGCAGCTTCCTGAGGGCAAGTAGACCACAGCATATTAACAGTGTTGTCATGTTAGTGTTTCATACCAAGTGATGCTGTGAAGTATACACCAACTCATGTTTACAAACAGGTCCGGCCACTAGCAGTGCCACACATTGCGCAATGAGATGTGGGCAGACGTGCTGGCGTCTGCAGTAGTAATTGTTCTAAAGCAAAAAGTCTAAAACAAATTTTGCCTTGCACGCACGCTTGTCAAAGCCTTATGATTATCTACTTCGAATCTTTTATAAGAGGAAGGCCAGCGCTCGTGGACCATAGAATTACACTTTCAGTGTTCTCCTCGATGCTTGGGTAATTAAGAGAAAGGTCTATTGGGACGCTGTCTGCTTTTGTGTGCTATCAATACCCGGCCGATTGAGTCAAGGCAATCCGCTTTGCAAAGACGTTGCCATGCCGACAATTATCGCGTTCATTTAGGCTTAGGAATGGCCAGAATGGAAAGACTATCTAAAGAATGCGTCGAGGTCATTGCTCATGCTTTGCGATTTAAGTGAGGTAAGGCAAAGCGAAAGCCTCCTGCACCATTCGTTGCTGACTATTGCGCCCGATATTGCAGCTACAACGACTTATTAGTTTCAATAGCTCAATCGTGGCATCTACGTGGCTGAGTTGATCCCGAGAGAGGCTTATGCACTCGATCAAAATCTCTAAATCATCAATGGCTGCCGGAGTCAGCTGAAATAATTCTTTTGCCTCGCTGAGGAGTTTCGTTACTTGCGTTTGCAGGGTCTTCCGTTTCTTCTTGAGGATGTCCATGATCTTTCTGTCTTGTCTCGATGGAATGTTGCTTGCTTCTGTCGTTCGTATTGCTTCGGTCTACCAGATTTCCTTTGTTGACTCGTTACGTCTCGGGTTTCAGCATTAAATGCAGGAACTTCTGGTAGTCATCGTTAGTTACGTTGAAGCAAACATTTATTTACACTATGCGCAAGCAACAAAGCAGTTCGATCTGACGTGTTAATCTGATCAGTTCCGAGCACGAGCCCCGGGCCCCGCGCTCCCCGGCCACCAGCTCCTTGCCATGAGCCCCTTTTCAAAATGTCTCTGGCCCATTTCCTCGTCTTCGGTCTCTGATCGTTTAAAGTAAAAAATTGGTTAGTTAGCAATAAACAGTGACTTTGTTGTATGTCAAATATTGATCTCTTTATTCAAACGTTAATTACGTACTGCTCCTGAAAGCTACATCTTTCCTTTTTTTTTTTTTGCAAAACACCGGAAAAAGCAATTCACTGATTTGTGGAGGGAGCTTGACAAATGAAGCCCAAAATTTAATTGGACTATTTGTTCTGGCAGTGAGTGCGAGCATTCTCATGCTAGATCATGCTCATTGCCATGGCAGACAAAACATCTTAAGGTTTAAAGATATTTTGGGCCTCATTACTTGTACAGCGCCAACAATAGGTTGGAGCGACTGTTGCTCCCAAGTGCTTGGTAGGAAAAGATATATATTTAAGAGATTTGAAGGTGGATAGCATGCCAACTTACTCAGCATTATGACTGCTTGAAGCCCGTGTAGTCTGCAGGGTTCGGGGCGGGGAACTGTTTGTGCAGCCTGGTCACCACGCAGCTGGGCAAGGTTACCCGGTTCTCCTTTCCCAGCCTTCCGTGCACCCACCAAAAGAATTGGCAGTACGCCGTGTACCTGTGCTTACTGCAGTGATAACATAAGGAAGTTATTTAGTTACACTGCCAGGTATCCACTTGGAACTAGTTCGATGGCCAGCAGCAAAACGCCACATGCTGTAGTTTCATTAGAACATGCATATGCGAGCGTGCAAGCATGTAATGGATGGTTTGCTTCTAAATTTTGGGTATGTTTTTCAGGCCACCAATAAAAACCTGCCTGTGTCGGAAACTTCAATTGCCAACATTGAGGCACGGCCTTTTCCGGTTCATCTAATGCACATCTCGCTTTACATCCTCACTTTATTTACAAAGTGGTGAATTTCATAGTAAAAAGGTACAGTCAGCGACCGGTTATTCGAACTTCGCTGGGACCGAAAAAACGTCCGAATAATAGACCAGTCCGAAAACCTTTATTACTTCCAAGTGGGCTTTAAAAAGCCGTAAATAGTGCCTTGTTTCAGGTTACGCCTGCGTGCCTTGTTTTAAGTTGCGCCTCCGTTTCCGTTCGACAACTTTCTGTTAGCTTGAGAATCGCTGCCTTCATTTCTAGCGTTATGGTCAAGTAGCAGAAGAACAAATGGGGCCATGACGTCCAAGCCAGCGCTAATCCACGTGCGCAAAATGGCGACTGGCGACGCGAAGGAACGAAAAACAAAGCAAAATGATAATAATGATGATGATGACGTGCAGCTAAATGGGAAAGAAAGGGCTAGCATAGCGTCGCCTAGCGGTAGGACTCAGGAGTGCTCAAGTAGCGCTGGCAAACCAAGCCAATCCATTGGCAGCCAACATAGAATTCGAAATGGCCTCTTCTCGATGGTGTTTTACGCTGATCGCTCGCGATGATTTTGTCCGAATAATCAAACTTTTGGACTTGAAGCTGTCTGAAACATTGGTCGTGAATATACACTATTTCTATGGGGTAAGTCACGGTTCCGCCTTTAGGTCCGAAATATAAAACAAGTCCAAATCATCGGAGTCCAAAAAAACGGTTGGCGACTGTATAGTGATTTAGTTTTACTGTACATACGCATTTATCTGCTTGATGTTTCTCGTGCTGAGAGGCCGGCAAACCCTCAGCTTCCTGTGCTCGCGGTCCAGGACATCCGGTTCAGACAGTATAGCTCAATGAGCCTATGTATTGTGATGCAGGGAAGGCTCCCAGCCTTCTCTTTGACCTTGTTCTGCTCTTTGCAGCACACACTTTCCACTGGTGTGGGCATGCTGCCACAGCGGGATTTGCAGCAGCACCTGTTTCCCAAAGTTGAAAACATGAATTAGTGCATATGTCAACATCTCTGTAATGCTGTGTGGGCACTGGTGTGGCTACACACACTTTGTCTCTTTTGTTAATCCAATTGTGTCACCCAAACACTGCTCAAGCCTCGGATGCCTTTTGGGAGTATCCACAACCGCGATGCAGTCACTATACAGCAGCTGCATTTTTGCGTATAATAATA